GTCACGAAACATCTGCAAGAAAACAACCAAGCTCAGATAACATCAAGAACACCTCTCACTGTTTTAAATGTCCATCATTGAATTCTGTCCCCTCTCTTTTGATTCTTGTTTTTTGTGGTGGAAACTTATTTTAATGGGACAAGCAGAAACCCTATTAGTTATGGGGCAGGTTTCTGGGTGAAAGCCATGCCCAAATAAATCACAGGCTCTGTACAGCTAATAAATATTTGCAATTACTTGATTTTGCTGAAAAACCTAGACAAAGCAGTCCCATCTCTTTTCTTCTGCCAAGAGAGATTTCTCTGATGGGCCATTTCCTTTTAAGCACTGAGGAATTTAACACAACCTTTCCTTGAAATTGGGGCTATTAAACTTCTTAAAGCTCCCTGATTTACCATTAATCTCTTCCCGAATCCAGCTAAGGAAGGGCCACGTTACTGGCTCATCGCTGTTCCTGCCTCAGCTTTATCGTGCTATACAAGGATCTATAAAAAGGCCTTCCCAGGGATCAAATTGGCAAAAAAAATCAACTCCTTCCAAGTGTAATTAAATTCTGGGGCTGTTTTCTCTCCTGGCTGCAAAGTGTGAGCCACTCGGCCCGAGGAAACTCTTCAGCAGTAACCAAGTCCTACGCTTGGGTACTTTGAAAAGAAGGGGAATCTTTTAATATCACACAGACCGATCGATCAATGCTTGATGAATTGGGCTGTGCACATTTCCACCCCGGTGGCACAAACCGGCAAATTTAGGAGCTTATTCTGTGAAAGTTTAATCCCTGCTAAGTAGGTTTGGGATTCTTGCTTCAGAGGAAAAAAAAAAGCCCTCCTACCCAATATGGTGGGGGCTGCAGCTCATCTCCACGACAAGGGAACCTTTAACCTTCAATATGTTAAAATTTATCATCATTAAGTTGATTGGCTTAATAGATCCTTTGGGCAGTTGATAAGGTTATTTAAACAGGTAAACAATCGATAAAATAGTAAAAACCGAATGAAATAGGTTGGGCAGAAAGGAAGAGTAATAAAAGGATATAGAAGCCACGATCCTTCTGTAAGGCAGAGATTGAATCTCAGGGCTGGGAAGGGAGGTCAGCATCTTTGGCTTTCAGTGCCATCTTCTCTGGCACTTGGCTGGGCATTCTGGGCCTGAAGCATCTCAGTGGGCAGCAGCTGCCCTTGCCCACGCATCTTCCTCTCCCCGCCAGGCATGACCGAAATGGCACGGAAGGTTAACCTGAGTCGTGCCATGAGGACGATGCAGGAGCTTTTTCCCGAAGAGTATAACTTCTATCCCCGTTCCTGGATCCTCCCGGAGGAATTCGCCATTTTTCTCACCGAGGTAAGTGTGGGGGGCACTTGGATCTGGGTGCAAAGGCCTGGCTGGGAGGCAGGCATTTTTCATGAATAGGGTTTAATGCCAGGGCACTGAAAGTGTGATGACCCAGGGTGGGATATGAAACAAACACAGTCACAGAAAACGAGGTGAAGTCCCTTTTATTCCTTCACTTTGCTTCCAAGCTCCAAATATTCTTGACTGGAGGCAAAAAAAACTCCCACACAAACAGTTACAAGAAGAAGATAAAAAGCAACACAAACCAGGCAAGATAAGAGCTGGAGGACGTCCACAGATAACACACACTGGGAAGGACACCAAACTCAGAGAGGAACTATAAACTAGAGATATTTACATGCTTTGTTACCAGCATTTGCCAGTAACAGGTCCATACTTTTATTCAGTTGTCACAGCTGCAGCCCAGGAAGAGGATCAAGGCCCTCTCCTCCCGAGGAGACCACGTCTCTCCCTTATCCTCTCCTCCCTGCGTGCCCTAGGATGGAGAAGGGATGGGCCTGGGTCCTATGACTGCTCAGCCAGCCTCTGCCCTTCCCCAGCCTCCTCCACAACCTCCGGAGCCACACTTCCACTCCCTGTCGGCTGTTCCTCCTCTCCCTCAGAGTCAGTCTCCACCAGGGGCACGACAGGAAGCTTCTCCAGCCTGCTCTCTTTCTCTGGGTCCTTGTATGACCCTCACAAGACATAGAAACCCAGTTGAACTGTTGGGTTTCCTGGAGGAAGTTTTGCAAGTGGAGAGATGCATCCGAAAGGGGATTAAACCTCCATTGGAGCAAACATCCTGGGCAACTTTAAGATGGGTGGGCTTCAACTCCCAGAATTCCCTAGCCAATTGGCTGGGGAATTCTGGGAATTGAAGCCCACCCATCTTCATCTTGTTCTTCTTTCCAAACTGATGCTCCCAAAGCCATAGCTGAGCCCGGCTCCATGTTCCACTCTCTGGATGTGGTCCTCCAGCCCAAAGCAGAGTTTTTTTGGCACCCGGGAATCTACTGGGCAGCCTCTGCAGGGCATCCATCTTGGGGCAAATGGCTCAGGCAGCTGAATCCCCCTCACCTCTTCTTGTAAGTAGAGTCCAACCCCCACCCCACTCCGCAGGCTTTGATGCAGCAAGCAGCAGATGGCCAATAAAACAGCCCCACATATGGTCCTCCATCTGTCTTAAAGGGAAACGCACCTCTCTGGTTAACAAACACCAGGTGTGAGGCTGGTTTTTTCGGATGTGGAAGGATGTGGAAGCCCTTTCCTGAGAAGGAGAAGATTTGGGGGGGCTGTTGTTGGTGAACAATTCGTGGGTTCTTCTCCTGGTCTTTAGGTGTGGTGTCGAGAGGACGCCCCAGGGGAGGGCAGAGAAAATGTTGGCTTTAAGGGATCCCCCAAAGTCGTCCTGAGTTTCTGAAAAGCCAGCCTTGAGCTTTGCAACAACCTCAGCAGATAACGGATAATCAGAGTTGGAAGGGATCTTATAGATCATCTAGTCCAACCCCCCACCCAAAGCGGGAGACCCTACACCATTTCTAACACAGGGCAGTCCAATCTCTTCTTGAATGAAGTCATATTTCTCTGCCATTTCTTTTAGCTGTAACGGGAGACATGCTGTGCTCAAAAAATCATATAGTATGTGAGTTATGCTGCAAATATTAAACCAAGGGTCCATTTTTTTTAGCTTCCGTCTTTCCTTGGGCCCATGTCTGCCATGGTGTCCAACTAAGCCTGGGTCCATCATTTGCAGCCAGGGGTCTCTGGAAGGCATCGGGTTGGGGGGTGTTCTCCTAAAAACTAAGATTTTGACTCCCCCCCCCACTTTCCCTTGTGATGCTTCCACCAGGGGGAAGCACACACCAGGCGGAGATGCCTGTGGGGTTTCTCAGCCCCATGGCTGCCCCAAAAGTGCTTTTTCCAAGAGGCAACTGGACTTTTCCATGAAGACCAAAGGTAGGTATTCAGCCGGTTCTGACCATTCCTGGAGAACCGGTAGCGGAAATTTTGAGTAGTTTGGAGAACCGGCAAATACCGCCTTTGACTGGTCCCGCCCCCATCTCTTCTCTGCCTCCCATTGAGTCCCAGCTGATTGGCTGGCTCTTCTTTGGTTGCCCTGCACAGGAGAACGGAGCTGGAAAGCAGGTTAGTGGGGTGGGATTCAAATTTTTTTTACTACTGTTTCTGTGGGCCTGGCTTGGTGGGTGTGGCTTGGTGGGCGTGGCAAGGAAAGGATTCCCACCCCACTCCAAGGGAAGGATACTGCAAAATCCCCCTTCCCTCCCCACCCCACCAACCTGCTTTCCAGCTCCGTTCTCCTGTCCAGGGCAACCAAAGGAGACCCAGCCAATCAGCTTGGATTTGATGAGAGACAAAGAAGAGATGGGGTTGGCGGGGCCAGTCAGAGGCAGGATTTGCCGGTTCTCCGAACTATTCAAAATTTCCGCTACCGGTTCTCCAGAACTGGTCAGAACCGGCTGAATACCCACCTCTGGTGGGGAGAGAATGGGGATTTTACAGTATCCTTCCCCTGCCACGCCCACCAAGCCACGCCCACAGAACCGGTAGTAAAAAAATTTTGAATCCCACCACTGTTGAAGACGTTTCGCTTCTCATCCTTCAGCTCTTCAGTTCAGAACGGAAGAAGCTTCTTGGGCGAGAAGCGAAATGTCTTTGAGGAGCAACAAAGCAAGTCCAGTTTCCTCTTGGAAAAAAAGCACGTTTGGGGCATCAGACAGGGAGATCCCTGGCTGTCTAAGAAGCAGATTAAATGGGATCTGCCCCAAAGCTGCTTAAAAAAACATAAGGGTGTGGGGGATGGGAGGGGAAAGGCTTGGAAGCAGGTAAAAGTTTCGTTGTCTGCCTCCTTTTGCTTCCCTGGCAGGTAAACCTGATGAAGGAGAACAACCCCAGGTGGAAACCCACCTTCATTGTGAAGCCCGACGGGGGCTGCCAGGGAGACGGAATCTACCTGGTGAAGGATCCCACGGAGATCCGGCTGATGGGCAACCTTCAGAGCAGGCCGGCCGTGGTCCAGGAGTACATGGCCAAGCCCTTCTTGATCGACAAGCTGAAGTTTGACATCCGCCTGTACGTCCTGCTCAGATCCCTGGATCCCCTGGAGGTCCACGTGGCCAAGGATGGACTCTGCCGCTTTTGCACGGAGCCCTACCAGGAGCCGGCCCTGAAGAACCTCCACCAGGTCTACATGCACTTGACCAACTACTCCCTCAACATCCACAGCGGGAACTTTGTCCACTCGGACAGTGGCAACACCGGCAGCAAACGGACGTTTTCCAGCGTTCTGGGCAAGCTGGCTTGCGGTGGCGTCGACATCCGGAAGGTCTGGTCCGATATCATCTCCTTGGTCATCAAGACGGTGATCGCCATCGTGCCCGATCTGAAGGTCTTTCACCAGTCCGATATCCCCGCAGGGAAACCGGGGCCTTCCTGCTTCCAAGTGAGTGCGGGTTTTCCCAAGAGGACTTGTGAACCCACTGGGTGTCCAAAGTGATGTGCATGGAATATATATATATATATATTTATTTACGTGCTTACCCAGTTTATTGGCCAGCTCATCTTACCCCAGGGTAACTCTAGGCGTCTTGTGACATCAAAAGATAAGAGCATGTAAATAAAATACCAGCCAAGTATAAAAATAGAACAGAACAGAACAGAACAGAACAGAATAGAATAGAATAGAATAGAATAGAATAGAATAGAATAGAATAGAAATAAAAATAGGAATAGGCATAGGCATAGAAATAAGAATAGAATAGAATAGAATAGAACAGAACAGAACAGAATAGAATAGAATAGAATAGAATAGAATAGAGAATAGAGAATAGAGAATAGAGAATAGAGAATAGAGAATAGAATAGAATATAGAATAGAATAGAATAGAATAGAATAGAATAGAATAGAATAGAATAGAATAGAATAGAATAGAATTCTTTATTGGCCAAGTGTGATTGGACACACAAGGAATTTGTCTTGGTGCAAATGCTCTCAGTGTACATAAAAGAAAAGATACCTTTGTCAAGAAGAGTCAAGAATCATCAGGGACAACACTTAATGATAGTCATAGTGTACAATAAGCAATCAAATCATACAGTCAGTATAAATCGTAAGGATACAAGTGACAAAGTTACAGTCCTACAGTTACAAGTGAGAGGGGATGGGTGATAAGGAGTGATGAGAAGATTAATAGTAATAGTAGTGCAGACTTTGTAAATAGTTGGACAGTGTTGAGGGAATTATTTGTTTAGCAGAGGGATGGAGTTTGGGGAAAAACTGTCCTTGTGTCTAGTTGTTCTGGTGTGCAGGGCTCTATAGCGTCATTTTGAGGGAAGGAGTTGAAACAGTTTATGTCCAAGATGTGAGGGGTCCGTAGATATTTTCACAGCCCTCTTTTTGACTCGTGTAGGATACAGGCCCTCCATGGAAGGCAGGTTGGTAGTAATCGTTTTTTTCTGCAGTCCTAATTCTCCTCTGAAGTCTGTGTCTGTCCTGTTGGGTTGCAGAACCAAACCAGACAGCGATAGAGGTGCAGATGACAGACTCATAGCTAAAAGATGAGGAGGGAATGAGTGAGTAGGATGAGGCAGGAGGGGAGGTGGGATCTGATATTTATCTATGTATATTTATCTATTCACCCCTCCCCTGATGTGAAGCCCCCTCCTTTGGTGCCCCAAGCCAGCTGGCAGAGAAGGCAAGTTTTTAGGCTCTTGCAGAAAGTGTGTGTGTGTGGAGGGGTGTTGAGTGGACCTCACTCAGTTGGGAGGGTCACTGCTTCCCTTAGCCCTCTCAGCCACTGCCTTGAGGTCAGGGGGTGGTTGTCCAAACTGATTCAGGCTGTAAAAGTATTTTTTTTGGGGGGTGTTGTCTGCCCCTTTGTATATTCTGCCTCCAGAGCACAGAATTGCAACCAGGAGGAAGACGGATCTTGATTAGGGGATTCTGGGGCCATGGAGAGGTTTAATAGACTCCCCCTCCTCTTAATTCTTGGCTGCCACAGAAGGCCCCCCCCCAACCCCTGGTGTCCAGATCTTTGGGGGAACCCTCCCTCAGGACCCCTTTTTCTTCTAGGGGGGGTCAAGCTGAGCAAAACACCAGGGGTTTAGGGTGGTTCTTGGGGAGCTTGGAAATGGTTTCACTCTGTTCTTTGGTTCCTGGGAAACATCGGTGGCTGCTCTCTCTCTCCTCCGAAGATTTTAGGATTTGACATCCTGCTGATGAAGAACCTGAAGCCCATTTTGCTGGAAGTCAATGCCAACCCAAGTATGAAGATCGAACATGAACAAGAGGTGGGCATAGGTCTGGCCATCCTCCGGCCTCTTTCTTTTCCTGGAGAGATGAGAGCGGAGCTCCCTGCCTCCCACCTGGGCCCAGCTGCCCCCCTTCCTCAAATACCCCTTGAAAAGAACAGTAACTCGCACTCAAGAGGGTTAATATTTCGATTGTTTATTATTAATTGGGTGAAACAATATATTCCCCTTCCTCAGCTGTCCCACCGGAGGCCCCACTCCTCCCTCTGACCATGCCATCTAGGCAGGGGTGGGATTCAAGTGTCTTAACAACCAGTTCTGTGGGCGTGGTCTAATTTGTGGGTGTGGCTTATGTGGTCATGTGACTGGGCGGGGGGTGGCTTGCGTGTAAATATTGTAAACATTTATGTAAATATTGAATTTTTTATTTTTTTAAAAAGAGCAACTTTTGCCCAAAAATCAGGCAAAGCAGGCAGGCAGTTGCTCACAGAATCACAGATTCACTCAGAGTTCTATCTTTCTGCAATCTGCTACCTGAGTTCTGCACTGAAAAATAGAAACTTAGTCCTAAGGAAGGTTCGGCTCTGCTTTTAGATTAGCTAGAAAGCCAGAAATCCAACGATTTCCTGCTTTCTAGCTAATCTAAATCTCCAGCACAGCAGAACAACTGATGGTCGGAGGGGAAGGAAAAATAGCAACTTATCAGGCAAGTTTGATGGCGCTCATGCCAGGTAAGGAGTGAGTGGGCAGGGAGGCGAGGGGCCAGCCAGTGGTGCGGTTTGCCAGATCCCCAAACTGGGCAGAATCATAACAACCGGTTCTATAGAACCGGTCCGACCAGGTAGAATCCCACCCCTGCATTCAGGTGAAAAGTCTGGAGAAGTTTAAACCTTCCCTGCTCCTTTGAGGACAGAGCTAGGCGTAGGAACCAGCTGGCCTTGAATGAAATCCTCTCTGAATCTTGCCATATTTATAGTAACCAGCATTCAACTGAGGTAGCAGATTGCAGAAAGATAGAACTCTGAGTGAATCTGTGATTCTGTGTTCTGTGTTCTGTTATGTGTGTAAGCTTTAGTCTTTTTTTCTTATTTTTTTAAGACACTTTTTTTTCTTTTTTAGCGCCTGTGTTTCTTTTATTTATTTATTTTTGTCCTTTTTGTGTTTTGCGTTTTAACCTTGGAATTTTGGGGGGCGGGGGGGAATTCTAAAGAATAAAACATCCGGCTTGAAGGCAAAAAAAAAGCTGACTTTTGAGCATGTTTGCTGGGATCAGCTTCTCTTCTGGATTTCCCAGGTTTCTCCGGGAGTCACGCATAACATCCCCAGTCCAGTCGATGAAGAAGTCAAGGTGGCCGTTATCCGTGACACCCTCCGATTGGTGGATCCCCACAGGGAGAAGAAGAAGCAGAAGCATCATGAGCAGCCGGCCGAGCCGCCTCCGTAAGTGCAATCTGATTCCCAGCTGAGACTCCGGCAGGACGTGTACAGCACTTAAGGATGGGGGGGGATCCTAAAGCTTTGGGGCATCTGCCTTCCAGCTGGCAATGTGGGCCGCTTTGTGTTTTCTTTCACTTGCACACACCACCACCCCCAAGCTAGTTGGCATAAGCATAATGTCACCCTAAGCTTTATTTCCCCAAAGAGGGCAGAAAAGCCAGACTTTCCCAAGAAAGAACGTGCTATCTTGGTCATTTTGGCAATTGGACTGGGGGTTCTGGACCACCAGGCCGGCCTTGGGTGGCTGGCAGGGCAGGCAGGGGTCCCGGGAGAGGATGTTGCCCTGCTATACAGTTATCTTGATGAGACGGTGTTGCGCTTCCTTCAGACACCTTTTCGGAAGACAACTGCCACCTGGGCTGTGATCCAGGTCTGGAGGTCCTTGACGAAGGCAGCACCGCCCTTGAGTTAAGGAGCGCCACCTTATTAGTGCTCTCTGGGGGAGGCGGCGACATTTTTGGATTGTAGAGTTATGTCACCCTAGACCTCATGGTGCCAGGCAAGAAGGGGAAAAAGTCAGAAAGAAGAGATGTTGTCGTGCACTTTGGAGGCGATGTCCCCGAAATGCAGCGTTACGTTACCCCCGTTCTCTGCCTGCCACAAGTCTTGCAATGTGCAAGGAGTAGCCAATCCGTGTCATTCGTATGGTGGCGACAGTCTTCAGATGCCATCCTGGCACCAGCCTGTCCTTTTTTTCTCCATGTTTAGGAGGTTTGAGGGAAGCAAAGAGACATTCATCTCCCAGTAGGCAAAAAGAAACCGACCCGGTTTTCCCCACACCTCCCGTGCCTCCAAAAACTGCTGAGAAGCTAGCTGGCTGTCCTTGCAGACAATCCCACTTAAATATTTACAACCAGATGCCACTAGGAAGAGTCTCAGTGGTGGAGGGGAAGACACACAAACAGACGCACACAACACAACACAAGCCGTTTCAGGACGGTGGGGAATCTCCTGTGATTTATTTTCCGATCACCAATAACCGAGGCGGGAACGCTGGCAGGAGGCGATGGGTCCTGCTGTCAGAATTAAAGCAGCTAAATTAAGGCCATCTTTCATGTGGAATAACCTGCGGTTCTTCGGGCTCACCGGCTGCTGAACTACAAGGCCCAGCAGGCCCAGCCGAGTTTGCTGGCACTTGAATTCTTCCAGCTTCAGCTGGATGACCTATCTTTGGCCGGTTATCAACCTTCAGAAAGGCCAGACAGATAGATAGATAGATAGATAGATTAGATAGGTAGGTAGGTAGGTAGGTAGGTAGGTAGGTAGGTAAAGAGATAGAGATGATAGAGATGATAGAGATAGAGATGTATTTCCATATATATATATATATATATATACACACACACACACACATACATACATACATACATACATACATACATACATAC